TCGATTATCAAAAGAAACCCATGAGAAATCACCATTATCGTCGTCGTGAATCAGCTTAGCTCAAGCACTTTTTCTTTCCTTCTCTCTCACAAACTTTTCTTGTCTTCTCTCTCCTTCACCGGCACAGTGACAAGATGTAGGGGTATTAGAGTCATGATGGGTTTATGAAACGTTTAAGTTAGGTAGGCAGGGGTAGGTAGTGAAACGTTTAAATTACTTGATTCTCCAAACATGATGAGTATAAATGGGGCCAATAACCGATCCCCATTTTACACTCTCATCAAACTGGTTCTCATTTTTACATTCGGTGTAAATTTGTTTTTACACCTCAAACTAACATAGCCTTAGTACTTTAAACCTTCACTACAAAAAAAAGAAAATCAACCTTTAGCAACAATCAAAAAATGTTGCAACTGCTTAAAAACTATTACTAAAGGCTTTAATTACAACCGGACTGGCTATTGTTGTTAGTGGTGTGGTTAAAAGTTTTTATTACAATTAGACCTATTCATGGGCCAGGCTTCGAGCCGGGCCTCATTCAAAATTTGGAAAAATCCAAGCCCAAGCCTAACCCATGAACAAGTATAATTACAAAGAGCTATTGTTAATGAAGTGGCCTAAAATATATTATTAGGAACAATTACTATTGATTGTGGCCAAAAGTGATTTGAGACTATAGTCCACATATGTATAGGAAACAATCACATTAGTTATTGTTAAAGCATATACAACAATTGATCAATTATTGCTTATATCCATTTTTTGTAACAATATTTAGTGAAATAAAGACAACCATGCAATTGTTGTTAATTATTGACGAAAGGAATAATTAACAACCATGATTATCCTTATTGATCAATTATTATTTATAACCATTTTTTGTTACCTAAACCTAATTGATCAATTATTGCTTATAACCATTTTTTGTTACCCAAACCTAATTGATCAATTATTGCTTATAACCATTTTTTGTTACCTAGCTGCCTAGGTGCCCACCTCATTTTGGTTGCTAATGGTGTGTCTTTTCATAGTTATTTACTATTAGAAAAGCACTTGTCACCCAAACTTGGGAAATAGTCCAATCTCCCTATCATAGCCTTGTTGGTTGCTAGAGCCAACACAAGAATTAAATCAACTTTAGTTACAATGTAGTGTACTTACCCTCTTAAGCTTTTCATGACTAGATTAACCATATAGGTACGCTAGAAACAAAGATGGAATCTCTTATCTATATTCTTATTTTTAGATTAGATTTACTTGTACATGTGTTAGTGTGATAATAGCTCAATTAGGGTTTGTTTGATAATAACTCAATTTGTTGAGCTGAATGGTTACTCAATTAAATCATTCAACTAATATTAACCCTTAAGAAATATAAACTAAACTCCTGAAAAGGGTTATATAAATATGAAATACAAGGCAATGCCCCTATTTTCTTTAGGTAATAGGATTGTTGTACGATTCACAAGAACACAAGAACAAGAAAGATCAATCAATGATATACATCCAAACCAAATCAAAGAATCAATAAAGATGAATAAGAAAATATTGAAGAGCTTACTTGCAAATACATACAAATACAAATATACATATTTCTACATGCAAAATATGCACAATGCAAATACATATAAAATAAAAAAAAATACAAATATGTATAGTGCCTAAATTGATCCTTAAGCTTAGTTTGGAAAGAGTAGAAATACAAACATGTATAGTGTAAATATATACAAAATAATACAAAATGCAAGGCTTTGCATTGTACATAATTGTCTTTGTACTCCTTCCAAACTAAGCCTTAGGCTGCGTTTAGGAAGAATGCAAATATGGAACTGGGGGAAATATGCACCCTGGTTTGGTTTTGTTGGCATTTGGTAAACATGGAAATATGCTTCAAAAATTAATGCAAAAATTCCCATACCACCTCATTTACCCCCAAAATGAGTATAAAGTCTACTTCAAAAAAAATTAACGTAAGCCTTTGCTGATCGACCATTAAAGTAAAAGGAAGAAACATTTGCTCTCTTTAACCATTGATTGGTAGAAGCAACCATCAAGGTTACTTATTAATCATTGTGATGGTTGATCCATACATTGGGCACATGTTCTATCTTGAACCAATCTTCTATTAAATAGTATATGCCCTTAGCTCCAATCAAATTGACGTACATAAACATTTATTAGTAAAATGAATAAAGTACATTATCGTTTCATGTTCTTATCAGTGTGTTTTTTGTGAATTACTTCTTAAACTGGACACTTATGAGACTCGTGTTAATTTAGAATGTTCTCACCTATTGGATAAACTTGGGGAGTTTATCCTAGCAAGGCTGACACTTGTGTACTGCCGAACTGGTGAAACAACTTGTCTCAGTTGCTGGGGTTAGACCCCAAGCACAACTAGTGGGCATTTAGAAGAAACATTAAAATCGGACCAATTTTAATTTATGCCCTAGACCTTGGAGATAAATGGGAAAAAATGGAAAGTTGCACTTAACCCCAAACTTAATTATGATGCTACACTAGGTATTGGACTAAGCTACTTTCGATGTGCCAACCAGTGAGATCCATCAAGGATCAAATATCTGGGCATGTTGGGGTAGTTTACAAGTTACCTGAGTAGGTGATCATAATGATAGGATCGACCCCTTTGCTAGACAAAGTAAATATCAAGGTTTGCACTCTCTTTGATGGAAACCTAAATTATCGACAGTGGATTTCAACTGTATTTAAAATCTAATTTGGAAAAATGTATTTATATGCTATATTATTATTTTATGAAAAAGGTTTGCAAAAGGTTTTAATCCTGGGATCCATCTAAGCGGAGAATGTGATACTGCATTTTGTAATCAAGGAATAGGTCATTCCCTATAGGCAGTGTTCTGATGATTATAGGCCAAGAGGTTAGGTGTAAGAGACCATTACAGGGTTGATTACCTAATGGGCTTTATTTTACATAAATCCATTATCCTTGGGTCTTCATAGGGTGGTTGAATCCAATGATCATTTATATGTAAATGTTGGGTCCAAATTGAGCCCAAGCTAATTGGGGCCAAGGGTTCACTACCCCTGAGTAGTGAATTCACCATAACCTCTACCAAAGATGGGGCCGAACCCTTATGGACTTGTATGAGATCTTTGTGGGTCCCATGCTATATAGTATTTAAGACCAAAGTGGCCATGACATATAGTATTTAAGCCCAAATGGGCTTAAGGTCCATTATTAGTATGATAATTATGTGATTGTGATATGACTTGGGCTGAAAATGGGCAAGGATCTGGTATGGAGTACTTCTTAAGAAGATAATGTTTATCAATTAAAGATAAACTCATAATCCAACTTTGATTTGGATCAACACTTAATTAGGTTAGGAGAGTGCTCTATATAAAGGAGAAAGAGGGGAGAGTCCAATTATGCTAATTCTCTCCACTCTCTTGTTCCCTTCTCTTCTCCATTGCTTCTCAAAAACCTTAATTCGACCTAACTTTGATAAGAGCTGATTTTTTTCAGTTCTCTATTGTGTTTTTGCAAGAAAAATGGTAGAGAATATCAGGTTCACATACCCACTTCGATCCAAGCAAGTTGGAGTCTGGTTTTTGCTGAAATGGTGTTGCTAAATTGGCTTTACATACACACTATGCCATTTTTAGTTGGAGGTTGATTTTGGAATTGATATTGGGCGTGAACTACCACTTTGGGAGCTTTGCAGTGTGGTATCTGTATCAGGTATTATCAATTTTAACTTGACTTCAAATTTGGTCCAGTTTAGTGCAAGATCAATCCCAAAATTTCATATTTCAAAATCACCTAGAAATTGGTTCCTGGGTTGGGTTAAAAAATTTTAAAAATTTGGCCAACCACCACCCGGTTTGGCCATGCCAAACCTAATTTCTAACCCTTCCAACATCTTCACCTTTTTGTTTCATAAAATTATTCTTTTGTCATGGGAGAATCTTTGATAATCAAATATTCTAGAACTATTGGAATCCTATCCTCTCGCAATGATGGAAGACTAAGGCAACAACTAATCTCCAACCTTTTCAAGGAGATCAAGTATGAGTGCATCGAAAGGGAGACAAGTTTAGAGCAATATGAATAGGAATGACAATGGGGTGGGGGTGGGGATAGGGATCCACTCCCCATCCCCATCCCCTTCCCCACTAACGAGGACAAGACTATCACCATCCCCGTCCCCATGAGGATTCCCATCCTTGCAAGAGTCCCTACTCCCCACCAAACCTCATACTAGCTTAATAAACATATTTATAACCTGGTCAAATCTTGAGAAAATTTTCAGTTTCATTCTACTCCACGAACAATAGGACAAGGAGAATCTCACAATGGAAAATAATAACATTAGAAGTCAAAAGAAAACAAGACAGGTGAGCCCTAATTGAATCTTTTCAAACTGGCACTTTATCCTATCAAAGAAGGGGAATATAAGTAACAATGGAGGCTTAAGGATGATCACAAAGAGATTGAAGAAAAAGGCGGGTCATCTTCCGTAGGCCTATAGTCTTTGAAGGCCCAAACCTGCTAGTCGAAACTTGAAAGTTTAGACCGTAGGAAAGAGGAAAATCAAACCTGATTTTAGATTTATGTATTGAACTAGTTGACACATGAATGGCCAATGGTCATCAATTTGTGAGTCTTGTACTTAAAATAGGGTTTATGTCTTTCCTCCGATGTTGTCTAGTCTGACCGACTAAGTGGGAGTAGTATGGGTTGTCAAAACTCATAAAAATAACCAATAAGGACAAAATATTACATAGTTGTGGGGGGGGTTTTACTTTTTTATAAAGACAAAACGATGAGGAGTTGTAGCTGCCCAGATTTCAAAACAATAAAAAATGATATAAAAAATAAAATTAAAACTAAAAGCTATTGTTGCAGAAGCATAAGGACAATGGCAAATGACAATAGATCGGTTCAGGTTTGGTGATGTTGAATAAAAAATATTTTATTGGAAAAGAATACAATAATATTAAAAAAAAGCCCATACCAGTAAGGCTGTAACCTGTTCGTGCAGTCCTCCTTCCTTCGATTTAGTCTAACTATTTCTTCAATCCATTGTTGATATGGTTGTGATCTTGTAAATAACAGCCCGTTGTTCCAGTCCAGTGCCACCACTGTGTAAAGAAAAAGAAGAGGAGGGGAAAAAGAGTAAACCTAAACTGAGTAATTGACTCATTTGGGGTTGGAGTCGGCAAGAGAAACTGAAACATGCTATGTAGGTAAACCTAAAAGTATTATATATAAGGTAATTTTGTAATTGAATTAACGGGGATCTCCACGGGGCAAGAATCGGGAACCCCGTGAGGTGGGAATGCTATCCCCATTTCTACCAACGGGGATGAAAATTTCCCTATTCCCATTCCCGCCCTATTCGAGGTAGATCCCCCTCAGGAGCAAATCCCTAAATATGAGATAGTAAGAATGTGAACACAAGGCAAGTCACCTACCTTGCGAATCTAGTACTTAGAAAGTTAAGGAGGTTGTAGAGAGAGGAAATAATATAGAATGAAATGAATAAAAGCGGTCTTTGGTCCAATATAATAAAATGTAGGAAAGAATGGGTGAGAAGGAGAGAGAGGTTTGGGCTTTGGCTTTTCATTTCGTGAAAGAAAGGAAATTTCCTCGATTATTTTTCTAATTTTAAGCATTTTCTAATAAATATACAAAACATAATTTTAAATGGGGACCCAACTTTCCTGACTCGGTGGGGTCGAGGATGGGAATTGTTATGGTGGGGCAGGGACGGGGACGAGGATTGATAGGAATCCCCGATCGGGGTCTAGGTTAGGAATGGGGATTGAAGTCCTCGCCCCGCCCCGACCCTAATATTAAATGTTATTTATATTAAAGATACTATTATATTATTTATATTATATATATCAATATATTTAAAACATTATTTATAATTTAAAATTTTTATTTATTTTAAGTAAATTTATTTTTCAAAAAAATACTATTATCTAAAAATATTTCGGGGATTCGGGTCCCCACGGGGAACCCATCTCCATTAGGGATCGGGGATGGGGATGGGGATGGGGTTAATTTCAAAATCGGGGTTGGGATGGGGAATATATTCCCCACCCAAACCCACCCCGTTGCTATTCCTAGTCTGGAACTCTTTAGGCTTCACCCATTTGTTGGTACTAGTAAGTATGCACGTGACAAATCTAAATGATGATAATGATAGTAAAATGTATCCAAAAAATTCTATAAATATGTATTTTTTTTATTTTTTATTTTTTTATTTTTTATTATTAATCAAATGCAAATTGTAAAATTCAAATCTCATTACATAAACACCTTATCCAAATATGTGATAATCAGATCAATTTGTGAAGATTCAAGTATCATTGACAGACCTACCTGTTTAGCTAGATTCTTCTTTTTGTAATGTTATATCTTTTTGGTGTATCTTTTCTTTTTTTTTTTCATTTATCAAAAAAAATGTAAGGTTTAAATAGAGGGAATGGAATGATGTGAAAAGTAGTAGTTCAATTTATAATTTAAACCTCACAATTAAATAGATACTAAATTCCAAATTAAATATTTTAGTTAAAAGAAGATCTCACAATCTAATTCATATTTTTAATGTTAGTGTAAATATAAAATTATAGATGTGTTCAACTTTTTCTATATTTTTTTTCTATTTTTGTGTGTAAAAATAATTTTGATATGTCAAATTTACGTTTTGTTTAATATGATAATTATATGACATTATACTTGTGCTTGAATGTTTTTTTTTGCAAAATTTATGTATTTTTTTGCCAAATAGTAAAATAATTTCATTTTTTGTTAGTTAAATTATGTATTTCAGTTTTATTATCAATAAAAATAATTCTTGTTTATTACACTTGTTTTTAATTTGATTAATACAAATATCATAATTGTATCTAATTTTTCTACATTTTTTTTGTAATTTTCTATTTTATTTTTATTTTAAAATTTTTATTACCTAACTATGACATTATAGATTGATCAATTTGATTTGGATGGTTGAATTGCTTAGTCACCACTTGGATAAATAATGATTTTGTTTTTGAGTCAATTTTAAAATATATGGGTTTATATTGTTAAAAATATTGACAAAGATCTAATTAGTAGCATTTATTAGTGAAAAATAACTTAAAGATAAGATTTAATAAAAAAAATGGGAGTTAATAACTTAAGTATAAGATTAAATGAGGTGGAAAGTAATAATTGAAATTATATTTTCAACCACTATAATTAGAGATAGACTAAATACATAAATAATGAACATTTTAATAGCCATTAAAACTATAATAAATGACTTTTATACTCTTTCTCAAACAAATAAATAAAGTATAATTTTAGTCCAACAAAATTTCACTCTGCATCAACACTTTTACATATAGTGTAGATTTAATAGGGGGTAAGTTGGTCAACTTGTAAATGAGGGTATCCCTCTTGTAACATAGGTAAATTACTTACCTACATGATCATTGAAGTCAATAAGTGCTCTCTCCCTTTCACCTTTCGGTTAAGTAAAATAGAATGAGGCTTTAGAAAGGTTAGTGGGCATGAAGCTAGAACATACTTAGGCCATGTTTGGTTAACTGTATCTAGCCTCATTCTTTTAGTTCTTGCCCATTCTAGGCAAGAATGAGATAACATTAGAATGTTTGGTTACAAAATTTTGCCACGGGTCACATTCTTTTTAGAGTGAAAAATCAGCCCCATAGCAGAGAAATTGAGTAACTTGCAACATGAAAAATAATCATGCCCCATCTTGCTCATTTTCATTCTTTGAGGAAACTCTGCCTACAAAACTACTCCCATAGATATTTACTTTTGCGAAAGTACTTTTACAAAAGCACTTTTATAAAAGTAAATTTATGAAAAGTACTTTTATGAAAGTAAAGTACTTTTATGAAAGCACTTTTACATTAAAACACTTTTATAAAAGTACTATGAAAGCACTTTAATAAAAACACTTTTATGAAAGCATTTTATAAAAGCACTTTTATGAAAACACTTTATGGAAGTACTTTTACGAAAGTACTTTTATAAAAGCACTTGCTTTTATGAAAGTACTTTTACAACAAATCTATGCCAACTGGTAAACATTGACTGTTGGAGACCTAGGCCGATAGTTTATGAATACTGGCACAAAATTTTTTTGAGGAATGAAATTGAGCAACATAGGACACTTGTCAATTTGAAAATAATTCATTTTTAGGAAAAAAAGTGTTTGGTTCATAGCAATACTTTCTCATTATGCCTATTTTTACCTATTCTTGTCCATTTTAGAATTTCATCTTGGGTAAGAATGAGAATTGAACCCAACATGGCCTTACTTGTTCGGCTAAATACACTTACTCAGCTAAGTAAAAAAGGACCGAGGTCTTAACTCTTAACAAGGTTAGTGGGCATCAACACACTTATCCGAGATCGGCTTGAGTGCTCATGAGACTGTGTTCACACCATGCACAGTTGTTTTATACCGTGTATTGGGAATATCTCCCTACTTATACGTTATTTTTCATGGGGAGATATTCTCAATGAAAGGCTTATGTATGAACAGTGTGAACAGAACACAAAAGCTGATTTCACCAATCATTAGTTATGAGGAATTTGGATTAGTTGAATGCTTTTAATTATTGAGCCCAAATCTCCCACCCACACAAACTCTACGCCGGTCTACCCACATAACATCACAGCCACACATGGACAACATCTCATTCTCCAACATGGTATTATGCACGGGGAGATGTTGCTAGTGTGTTGTAGTAGATGTGGGCAAGTGATCCAGAGTCGAGTAGGCTGTTAAACCAATGATAAAGGAGATGTTTGAAACCATGGCCATTTTTCAAGACAACGTGCCATGTCGGATCCACATAGGCATTTCAACAAATGCCCATGTATCTCATTGTTTGGTTCAGCCATTTTAAAAAAATCGGGCATGCCTCGAGACCTCACAGATGCATGAAACATAGGTGAACTGATGTATATTCTATGTGGTACTTACCTGCCAGCACATACATGAAAACGGTGATGAAAATCACCTTACCAAACAATATAGTATTGGTCATTGCCTACTTGACAAAAACGTTTTTTTAAGGAGTCTTGAAATCATGGACGTTTTTTCTTAAAAATCGGTCCCAAAAAGCGTCCACCCTTCTGAACACCGTGAAATACTGAACAGCTAAAGCGTTTAGCGAATCGTATCTCAGTTCTGAGACCCTATGCCTATTTTATAGGGACAAGTGTCTCAATTTTATTAGTAATCTAAGTAGAGATTACACATTATGCGTAACTAGGTCCGGAGTGTTGGGAATCGTCTTCGTCTCTAGCCAATTCATTCTATGGATTCGCGGTTCCTCGGGAGTCAACGATTCGAACCGGAAGTCTTCGTTCCAACCGAGAAAGGCGCGCAGTGAGAAAATGATCACCTACCTCTGTGGCGTAATAAGAAGAAATGCCCTTGACGACTGTTCTGCGTTCTCTTGTTGCAGTCGTGCCCACAAAAACCTTTTTTACTACCCAGAAAACTAAACGCTCTCTGTCACTCTCAGATCAGGTGAACTCATACTACCATGTTTTCCCCCAATTATTTCACTTTTTCTTCTTGTAATATGTTTTGCTTTTCAGCTATGGAGAACCCGTCATCGTCTGTGTTGGTTTTGCTCGGAAAATCATCTCTAGGGAACGAACTAGCTCTTTCTTGAAGAACAATAACAGTTTGAAGCTTCCTGACGTTAGCAAAGTTTCGCTTCTTCTGAGTTCAGAGATGGAGAAGCCCTGTGACGAAGAAGCTTTTAAAGCAGAATTATACATGAATTCACTTTCAGCCAATCGGTTTGGCAGATTTCTCATTTGGTCTCCTCGATTGGGTTCGACCCACGATGTCGTTTCTCAGTATGTATCTCTCAGTTTTAAAAAGTTCCTATTTTTGGGGAATCTTTCCAAAAATGTTGGTTTTTTAGGGGGATGAATCTTTTAATGTCTTTCAGTCGTGAACAAAAATTTTTGCGAGCTTCCTATTGGCACTGTTTGTGTTGCTGATGTTCAATTCAAAGGGAGATGTTTGAATTTTAAACTTCAATAAGCGCATTTTCTTGGTTTTTTTTTTTTACTCTAAGAGATCTAAACTTAAGCGATTTCATATTCAATGTGATGGATTTTTTCAGGTCGCTCGAAGAATGTGTGGGAATCTCCAAAGGGTTGCCTTATGTTTTCGTTTACTTTACAGATGGAAGATGCGCGTGTTGTGCCTCTTGTACAGTATGTGGTGTCTCTGGCGATAACGGAGGCGATAAATGATGTTTGTGATGCAAAAGTAAGTGCTTATATTGGATTTTTTTTTTGTTTTAGTGAGCGAGGAAGTAAATGCAGCCAGATTGTTCCTTTTGGTTTTTTGTCTGAGTTATTAGTCTGCTTTGACTGACTTACGAAAATTCTGAAGAACCAGC